AGCTGGATAAACATGGAACCTTTTCGGTCAAATCATATTACAGCTATTTATCCAAAAGGAATGCTGGGGAGGTTACTAATGTGCCTTTTAAACAGATTTGGAAGGCCAATGGCCCCCTTACAATCGCTTTTTTTGCCTAGGAAGCCTCAAGAGAGTCATTTTGACTATTGATATGTTGAGGAAGGTTAACATTATGAACAGATGTTTTCTGTGTAAATCTGATGAGGAATCTTGTAATCACATTTTGCTATGGTGCTCGGTGGTGTACAGCATTTGCTCTATGGTGTATCGTTTGTTGGGGCTAAATTGGCTCATCGCCGGTAATGTGAGAACCGAGTTATGGGTTTTGGCCAGCGTGTGTAGAAAGAAAAGACATCTTTTAATTCCCCTTTCTATTTTTTGGGTGGTGTGGAAGGAAAGAAATGTGACAGCGTTCGAGGGGATTGAGAAAGATTTTGCTAACATTAGAGATAGATGGCTTCATACTTTTGATTATTTGCTTTTGGGTCATGATATTAAGGGTTTAGAAGATTTTGAGATTATTGTTGACCATTTGATTGGCATGTAAATTATAGACAGATGGCACCGCCTTGGTACCTATTCTAATATTAATACTATTATACTTTTATTTCAAAAAAGAAATTCATCGTTGAGGGAATGGAAAGACAGCAGAAGGTAAGCCTTTGTTTTGATTGGAGAGGTACTACTTTATCTGGTCTTTGGGCGTTATGATCAGATTGCAATATAAGGATCTTCCCCCAGCATCATCAGCCACCATATTTCCTTTTAGATAGAGTGATGTTCTCAACTTCTCTGTGAGTCAAGGCATTGTAGTTATATTATCTTTACTTTGTTTCCTCATTCCTTCTTGGTTTTCTTGTTATCAAGGGGATATTTTATTATCTCATTCATCATTGAGGAAATGAAAGGACAGCAGAAGATAAGCCTTTGTTTTGATTTGAGAGGGTACTACTTTAACCGGTCTTTGGGCTTCATGATCAGATTGCAATATAAGCATCTTCCCCAGCATCAACAGCCAACATATTTCCTTTTAGATAGAGTGATGTTCTTGACTTCTCTGTGGGTCAAGGCTCGCTATACTGATATTATCTTTACTTTGTTTCCTTATTCCTTCTTGGTCTCTTGGCATTAACAGGAAAGGAAATCCCCTGTCTTGTAACTTCTATATTTCAAAGTAACATTCTTTTTTATTAAAAGATCACATTAGCACAATAAATGAGCAACCCTGCTTGTTCCTCCAAAAGTGAAAATAAAAATAATGCTACTCCAGTTGCTTCTAAGAGTTATCATCCATAACCAGCCAAGGTAGATTCTCTTCAGCTAACAGAGACACGGAGAAACATAGAACCCAATTTACCAAATATCAGATCAAAGTAGTTAAGTGCTTCTTATGGCAGGCTAAACTGGCCTAAGATGACTTCCCAAAGAGAATGTAGAGGTAAAAGCTTAAAAGATGCAACCCACCATGCCATTATGCTCAAGATTGGCATATAAATACTGCAGATTCGCTGTCTGCCCAAAATGAGAAATTATTCCTACATGTTCCATAACATACATCAAAGGTAAAAAGATGCCTCCAAATCCACTTCTTTTAGACAGTAATGCCCAAAATGAAAAATTATTCCTACATGTTCCATAACATACATCAAAGGTAAAAAGATGCCTCCAAATCCACTTCCTCTAGACAGTAACGCCCAAAATGAAAAATTATTCCTACATGTTCCATAACATACAGCAAAGGAAAAAAGATGCCTCCCAAATCCACTTCTTTTAGACAATAATGCCCAAAATGTATGTTCTAATCTTCCAAAAATTAGGCAGAGAGGGTGGTATAATTCCTGGACAGAGATAATGAGGAGTTATGCTAATAAAGAACCAAGAGTAAATACAGCTTATCAGAAAATAAGAATCAAAGAAAAAGCAAAATATACATGAAGATGAAGTGAGATTTCCAATTAAAAAATGAAAGTTAATGATGATCTTAAAATATAAACCTAAAAGAAATTGAAAACATAACTGCCCACTGATCAAAGGTTTCTCAATTATCTCGTGAAGTGATAATGACATACTGATCAAGAATCAAGGAAAATATATTTAAGAAATTTAGAAAAGAAAAAAAATGAGAATCCAAGAAAAAAAACAACATAATAGCACTTCGAGTAAAAAGAAAATTGAAGGAAAAATAAAAGCAAAGAAAAGAACGTAACAAAAAATGAACAGTATTTGAAGACAGGATAATCTCAAAGAAATGAGAAGCAATGAGGTTGAAATAACTTCAAAAATTATTGCTTTTGTTACGAGGAGGATTAGTATTTCGGGTAAAAAGAAAACTGCAGGAAAAAAAAAAGGAAAGAAAAGAATGTAACATAAAAGTGAATAGTATTTGGAGACAAGTATCTCAAAGAAATAAGGAGGGTGAAATGACTTCATCTCAGAATCCAAAAAATCATTCCTTTTGTCAAAAGGAGGCTTGGCCTTCATATTGGGTAGAAGAAGAAGAAGATTAGAAAGAGGGAAGAGAATAGCATCAAGTTTTTTTTTCCTTTTTTTATATAAAACAAGAAATACAATAAAGAAGGTTTAGAGGAAATTACAAGAAGAGTGCAAAAGAGAGAAGAGAATGAACAGGCCTCAGCATAGTATTTTCTCTAGACTATACAAAGGCATGTCAATGTAGAATAGCCTCAATTTCTTTGTAAACAAGGTAAAGGCATACTCCCAAAAAACTGTGCCCCTCTATACCCAAACAACTTGTTACGTTAACCTCTAGCGCAACTAATAACTCAGACTCAGGTATCGTGTTTGATGTGAATGTGTCCAACAAGGACAATTTTCTATCTATTTTTGAGTCTTCTATTGATTAGTTTGGCACAAACATATTTGCATCTGACAAAAATACCTCAAGTAAAATGACAGTAGAATGAACATAGCCAGAAGAAATCATTTATCCATATTTATCATCAAGGTTATATTTAGTCTTTCATCCAACACCCAAAAAAAAACCCTTAAAATAAATTTAAAAAAACAGCAAGGGGGACTCACTAATTTGAGCATATTTCTATCAAAAACTAATGCGAGCATGTAACAGCTCTATAATAAAGAAGAAAGCAAGAAAACTATTATGCTAAACCCTTATTAAGAAGATTTAGACAGATACAATAACGAAGGAGCAAAACTATATATTGTTAATGTCTTGAAAACAGATTACTAAATTAATTCAACTCCAAAATCTTGCAATTGGGACAAAACTTTTTATATAGTATATCAGTATAATTACAAGAGTTGAGAAACAGAAGTACTAACCAAGTCGAAACAAGTGAGTATACTCAGAAGCAAATGTTCGCGGGATACATTTGTCAGGAAAAATTACAATATACACAATCCTGCCAAAGTCTCCACAAGATCTGGTATTGCTTTCAAGGGCTATATAGTGATTTCAACCACAAGCCAAATCTTCCTTCCAAGTAAACTATAATGTGAATTTCAGAATTGACTCACCACCGATTGCAATTAAGCAGCCTACAAAGATGGACCAATAATTTATTAACAGAGTGCTAAACCGCTAAATCTATAATTGCTCAGAGCATTTGCACAAGGAAGAAAATAAAGAAAAAAGTTATGAAGCTAACCTAAAAGTACCAAATAAGCTCATTTTTTCAAGCTGGTCTCCAACAATTAAGTGCTGACATGTCTGGCCGACACGGCAATAGCTGGGAGACACCATGACCTTAAAAAGAAAGAAATACGACTCAACCTAAGTTGCTCAAATGGTGCATATGGCTACTTAGACACAAAAGAAGTGTGTCTTTACAAGTCAAACTGACCTGGAATTGCAACTCCAGCTGGTAAATTGCCAGCAGCAGGGAGCTGAAAGCCCATGTTACTTGAGGGAGGCCTTTCAAGGGGTGGCCGAAAATAACCTGCATAATGGATCGACATTATTGGAGACAAAATTAGGCAGATAGAACTCTAAATGGAAAAGATCTATCACCTCTTATTGAATGGAAAAGATATTGAAAAGTATTAACAATATTAATGACTAAGTTGAGAGAAGTGCATTTCCTTACCTTTGTGTATATCTACACAGATTCAACTAAATGGACACAAGCACTTAAGAACATACTAACAAAAAACATTTAGGTGGCAGAATTGCTGCTCTTATAGCAAATTAGGTGGCAGAATTGTTATCCAAGATTGACCATAGGGAACAATTTGCAAATTATCAAGAGCTTATTATCATGTATGGTGGGATTTTTTGTGTATGTTATCAGGAGGATGGTGAAAGCAGATCTAGAAGTGAATTTCTTCAGTCTCCTTGACATTCTTGTCAACAGAAACTCGCAGATTTTTTAGAAGCTCCAGGGGATTGAGGCAAGGAGATCCACTTTCTTCTTTTTTCTTTATTTTTGTGATAGATATTCTCCACAGGTTGTTCTCCAAAGCAAGGTTAGAAGGGCTTCCCTACAATATTGAACTGCAGAGAGGAGATAATAGTCTAAATGATTCCCATTTACTTCTTGCAGATTCTTTCCAAAAAAGAAAAAAGATTTCTACTTCCTAAGAATGATGCTACTTCTTTGCATCTTCAACTAGAATGGCTCAGAGGAGGAGATTTACCCTATTGACATGACCAATGATTCCCATTTAACAGTAGACAATCTTTTTTCTACATGAAAGAAATATTATCAGTAGGAGGAGAAAAAATATGAAGGATGAACGGTATATTAAATCAACGGCATCAAGGGGGTGCTACCCATTTACAGAGTATTTACAAATATGTAAGCATATTTACTATACTCTCAAGATCTTCCATCGTATATATATTATGACCCAGATACTATACTCTCAAGATCTTCCATCCTATATATATTATGACCCAGAATCAAAAAACTAAAATAATGAAAACATCTATTCTTGATTTTAGATATCTCCCCTTCAAACCCCTCACAAGCCCTAGTGTTCCTCTCTTTCCGTACCACCAAAAGATAGTCAATGGAATAAATTTACAAATTCTTTTTTACAAATCCCCTCCCAAGCCCAACTCTCATCCCTTACCAATTCCGCCATAACCCAATTTACTCCTAACAATCCATGAACCATGTCCAAAGATTATATGCCACTTAACATCATAGTAGAATACGATTGCATGACTCTGCAACATTCTTGCAAAGGTAACACCAATTCACCATGGTCCTCCCCCTTCTCATCAACTTGTCAATGGTCATAATGCATTCTCTATCCGCCTTCCAAGCCAAAAAAAAGAAAGCAATTCTTGGAGGGACCTTCACCTTTCAAATCTGCTTGCAGGAAACCGTATCTCTCCCACCTCTCCATTTCTAACCAAATGGTTATAAAAATATCACAGTGAACACCCCATCTGTCTTCAAATTCCATACAAGCTGATCACTATTATCATTCAACTGCACTGTAGATGGTAAACGTAACAATGCTTCATATTCTTTAATCTTTCAATCATTTGAGGTTCCTGGTCACATTCACAATCCACATCCTTCTACTGTTATCTCCCTCATAAGCCTCCTCCACTAATATATTCTTCGATTATGCGGTGGCAAAAATCTACCAAAATATATTCTTTAGGCATCCCCTCCCAATCCAATCATCCTGCCAGAAAAGAACCTTATTCCCTCTCCCTACCTTGCATTTGATAATTCTTGAATTTTATGTCCTGCCAAGCTTTTATATTTTTCCACAAACCCACCTGCAAAGTCTGAGCACGTCTCTAGTGGACCTCCTCCACCAATGTTTCCCCAGCAAGCTTCAACCACCGTCTTCCACAAATTGTCACCTACCCTCATATATCTCCATATCCATTTACCTTGTACTGCCAGATTCATTTCAACCATGGATCTCAATCCTAATCCCCCTAGTTCTAAAGGCAACTTCATCTCCTCCCACTTCGCCAAATGATACCTCCTTCTCCCCTCTTCATCACCCCACAAGAAACAACACTGAATAGTCTCAAGCTTCTTCGCCACCTTCACTGGAATTGTCAACACCGACATATAGTCAATGGGGAGGTTGGTAAGGGTACTTTTGATAAATGTAAATCTTCTCCCCCTTTAACAAGAAATTCCTCTTCCATCCTGTTAGTCTTCTCTCAAACATCTCTTGGTTCTTGTTTTTATTTTCCTGTTTTCTAAATAAAAATACTTTGCCTATAATTTAGCCCTTGTTGCCTCTCTCCTCCCTTCCCAACTATAAAATTCAACTGCACGTGAAAAACTTAGATCAATCAGGGACAAAAACAAGGAAGATAAGCAAAAGGCATTCCAACTTCATCATTCTTGATGCCAATTAGGTGCAGTGATTCCAAAAAGGTGAAGCCTCAAACTTCAACCTCGTGTCATAGATCACTTGTTTTTTCATACTTTCTTTTGCTCGATTCCAAGCCTAGTCCTTAATTTCCACCCACTTCCATTACGTCTTCCACCCTGTAGATACCAAAAGCCTAAAGATAGGATATGCCTGAGGAGGTGGAGGCGCCAACAAAGAGAGATGCAACGGCAAATGCTTTGAAGGGCACGAGATGAGAATCACCAGCATAATCTTTCGTAGAAGTAATCACCCACCCCAACTCACCAGCAGTTATACTGCCCGCCCCGAATGGNNNNCACCCCCAACCACCCAGCACCGCCAACAGAAACTCTGCTATTTCAGTTGTCCTCTGCTTCTCTCTAAGACTTTTAAGAAGGGGAAGTTTCGGCTTTCGTAGGCTATATCAGAGAAATATCAGAATGGTCTTCAGTCAGATTTCATGATCAAGGAGAATTTCAACAACGATGAAGTTGGTAGAAAACCATTTTTGCAAAGGGAAAGCTAGCCTATCTCTATGCAACATATAAAAAGAAAATATTTAAAAAGACTATGTTTCTTAACCCATAAAGATGCCAAAATGACATCTAAAACAAAGATCCAAAAAAGGCAAAGTATGATATTCGAAAATTAGCCATTTCTTTCCAGCCAAGAACCCAGAACTCAGCAAAGAGAGCCCCATGCCATAGAGCTTTATTCTGCTT